AGGCCACCCTGGTCTACAAGCGAGTCCAGGACAGCCAAGACTACACAAAGAAACCCTGTCTCAAAAAAAAAAGAACAATAATAAATTATTAATATTGATATTTTATGAGGTAAAGTATTTTTAAGGCATCTTTCGGTGGTGGTGGGTCTTTTGGGTGTTGATGTTCTTGTTTTGGTTGGTTGGTTTTGGGTTTTCTGTGTAGCCTTGGCTATCCTGGAACTAGCGCTATAGACCAGGCTGGCCTTGAACTCACAGGAGATCCACCAGCTTCTGCCTCCCAAGTGCTGGAATTAAAGGCCTGTGACACCACAATCCCAAAAGAGTGAGTTCCAGGATAGCCAGGACTATTATACAGAGAAACCCTGTCTTGAAAACCAAATAATAATAAATAATATATAAACAGTAATAATAATAATTTAACTTCTTTTAAGTTTGTAAGCCAACAGTATAAAAGATGCTGCTAGACTTACACTGAGCACCAGGTGGATGGCAAGGCGGCCATTCCAAGAGGCCTTTTCTCAGGAAGACCACCAGAAGATACACGCTGCCTCCCGAGAAGCCGGCACAATCCTACAATTTTACTGTTTACCTATGTATCTAGAAAAGCTGCACAAATTAAAAACATTCTCCACATACTGTTGCATAGAAAAGGAACCAGAGGAGGAGCGCTGTCGCCATTACTCAGGCTTCTCCAAGCCACGGCAGACCCCGCCTGCTGGGCGCTTCGCTTCCGGAGGTGGCAGCTGGCCCAGGGCTGCCACCTGCCAGCTGCTCGCTGCTGCCAGCTGCCCCAGTGACCCAGAAAATCGGGAATCTGGGCTTTCTAGCGAAGCATCTCCCGTTCTGGAAACGCTGCCAAAGAAACCTAGAAATGAAGCTGAGGCCAAACAAACCCCGTCTGGGAGCAGATGCGGCCTGCTGGCCCACCGGCGAGGGACCCCGCGCGAGTCCTAGCAGTTGCGGGGTAAAGCGAGAAAGTCAGGCCGAGGCCCGCAGGGCTGCCAGCTGTTTCCTCTCGCAGCTGCACAGGGCGGAGGCCTCCCGGGGGACCCGGTTGCAGAAACGAAACTCCGCCTGCAGGTGGAGGCAAAGGCCTTCCTTCCACTCGTGCAGCGCGCCCCCTGGCGGCCAGCGGGACGCACTGCCGCCCCGGCCCTTTTTTGGGGGAGGAGAGGGGAGGCGGGGTAGGGCTTTTGTTTCGTTTCGGTTTTTTCTGAAATAAGGTTTCTCTCTCTAACAGCTCTGAAACTGCCTCTGTAGCCCAGGCTGGCCTCGAACTCAGGTCCACCTGGCTCTGCTTCGATTAAAGGCATGCGGCACCACGCCCGACTTCAAGGCATGTTCTTATGTGGGCGCATGGATTAGTCACAGTCCTCAACTTGGACACATGCTAACCACTGAGCCAGGCCTGGCCTCTTCTGCTCTCTGTCCCTCCCCTTCCTTCCTTCAGATTAGGTTTTTTTTTTTTTTTTTTTTTTTTAAAAATAATGTAGAATCAAGAAAACAGACTACACTTCATTATCACTACTTTGTATTAGGGTTCTCCAGAGGAACAGAGCGATAACATACACACACACACACACACACACACACACACACACACGCAAGCATGCACGCACGCACGCACGGAAGCACGAAGGATTTATTAGAGCGTCTTACAGGGGACACAGGCTTACCCAGATACTTGGGTTTTACTTGATTCCAGGTGTAGCTGAGCTGACAACATCCATGCTTTCCCTCTGTCACGCCCATCTTTCCCTTCCCACCATCACTTCTGGAACAGTCAGCACACAGTTGCTTTTCTAAGGCTAGCTCCCCGGTGGCTGGATCTCACTCCCAAAGTGCATGAGCGATCTGAGCTCATACATCGGTGAGGATACCTCTGTGGAACCCTTGGTGACTTCATCTGCCTGTCACGATACAACTCCCCTTTTTCATTCTACTAGCCTCAAACCACACCTCCTCTCCCAAATCCCTATGAATACTACTACTACTACTATTATTATTATTATTATTAAAGATAGGGTCTCAGTGTGGGATAGTAGCACAGGCCTTTAATCCCAGCACTCAGGGAGGCAGAGGCAGTGGGAGCTTTGAGTTCAAGGCCAGTCTGGTCTACATAGTAAGTTCCAGGACAGCCAGGGCAGAAAGAGGACAGAGGGAAACTTTTGTCTCAAAAAAAAAAAAAAAAAAAAAAAAAGATAGGGTCTCAGCCTGTACCCCAGGCTGTCCTGGAACATTAATGGTCCTCCTGTGTCAGCCTCTCAAATTCTGGGATTTAAGTGAACACTACCACGCCAGGCTCCGTCTCTACGTGTCTTATTTTTAGAAGTTATTATTTCTATTCTGTGTGTAAGCATTTTGCTTGTATGCACGTGTGCACGCATGCATGCACGGTACCTGTAGAGGTCAGATTAGGGTGTCAAATCCCCTGGACCAGGGGTGACAGAGCTTCGGGCCACCAAGTGGGTGGTGGCACATGGAAAGCAGAAGCAGGAGGGTCAGGAACTCAAGGTCACCCTCCTGCCTAGTGAGCTCACTCCAACTCCAGGTCAGCCTGGGGTACGAGAGACTATCACATGTCTCACAGGCCTCAAAACAAGAGAAAGGGAGTAAGGAAGGGAAAGGAAATATAACAAAAAAAAAAAAAAGAAAGAAACAAAAAAAACAGTCAAATACAGAAATGCTGAGGACCACACATACACACAAAAGTTTTTAAAGGGCTGGTGAATCTGTTCAGCAAGAAAAGGCATTTGCTGCCAACCCAGAATGCCTGAATTGGATTCTGATCTCCCACATGATGGAAAAGAACCCGAATCCCACAAATGTGCCTCCTAACTGCCACTGTAACATGCACTTATAGGAACGTAAATGTCAGTGACAACAATTACTGCCTCTTAGAGCTGCCTTTATTAAAAACAGCTTTGCAGGACACCTATTACTTGTAGAATTATAATTTAATCTAAAAATAATAATGGACATCTCAGGGCAACCAGGACTACACACGTGCTCACACATGTCCATGAGCGTGCAGCACACGTGTGTGAGCATGCATGGGCACAGGAGTAGACCAGAAGGAACCAGTGTTCCGTGGGAGCCAGCCACCTTTTCTTTCAACAAGGTCTCACCGAGCAGGCTCCACTGGCTGATCAGAGACCCACAGGAAGCCACCTCCGTCAGCCTCCCCTTGCTATCCGTGCCGCCACGCCCGGCTGTGCAGGTTCTGGGTCAAACCTCCCAGGCACTTAACTGACCGGCCCATCTCCCAGACCATAACAAGTGCTTTCTACACTGCAGGGTTGGGGTTCTTATTGGGGGGCGGGCTGGGGTTTGACACAGGATTTCTCTGTGTAAACCAGGCTGGCTTTGAACTCACAGAGCTCTGCCTGCCTCTGCCTCCCAAGCGCTGCACCACCAGGGCCCTGCCTGGGGGTTTGGTTTTCTGTCAGTGCATCCCCGATTTTGTTTCTCCTCACTCTAACGTGACAATCCCTTTCCTCTGCTTGGTCCTCTGCAGGACCAACTTTACTAGGTACTGGAAGAGAACAGCTTTAAATCCAGGTATTTTCACACCTCACACTGGGTGTGTGGATGTGTCTGTGTGTTTCTGTGTGTATTGTATCTGTGTGTCTGCATGTGTGTGTCTGTGTGTACTGTGTCTGTGTATAGTGTCTGTGTGTACTGTGTCTGTGCTTTAATGCAATCACAGCTCATTCATCACACTCAATATAACCTTGAGTTCGTCTGTGAAATGAGTCAAACCCACTTTGGGCTCAAGTGAAAGGCACAGCTAGAGATACCAGAGAACAGCAACCCCTTCTCAGCTCTGGACAGTCTTGTGAAGAGATGGTATTGAGGTATGTTTACCACACGAAGTCTCAACTCTGAGAACAAAACTCACCAGGAAATGGACGGGCAGAGAACTTTAGACACAAGCTAGGTTTCGATGACATCAGCAAGCCGCTGAATTTCCCAGGCTGGTCTCCAACTCCAGGCCAAGCAATCTCCCTGCCTCGGCCTCACAGGTGTGCAGATTACACACACTGGCCACCCGGCCTGGTGTTCTTCCCAGACCTCCCCTGAAGTAAGCTTTCCTCCTGTTGAGGACATTGCCTTAGGTTTCTGCTCTTCAGAGCTGTCTGCATATTGATACAATGTCCTTTATCAACATAAAACAAACAAAAACCCTGAAGAATGTACAAATTCCAGTGAATTCCTGACGATTATAAAGATCCTATTATTCTGGAGGGCCTGGAGGCAGGAATCCTACAAATCCCACAGATGGTTCTGGCTTTGCTTCACACTTCTAGCCCTCCAGCTGTCCTAAACAAATGTCTCCATCCGTCACCGCTGTGGGAGCCACAGCTAGACTGTGAGTCCAAACTTGATTCTTTCTAATTATTTAGGCGGAGGGAAGTGATGCACATCTGTGATCCCAGATTTTGTGAATGGAAGAGGAAGGATCAGGAGTTCAAGGGCATCCTCATCTACACAGTAAGTCTGAAGCCAGCCTAGGCTAAATGAGAGCCTGTCTCAAAAAAAATAAAATAAAATAAAACAAAAACAGAAGGGCAAAGAGAAGAAAGGAAAGGGGAAAGGAAGAGAAAAGGAAAAGAGGGGGAGAGGAGATTTAAAGCCATTCAGTGTATTCTTTTACAACTCATACCATGTGATTTCCTAAAAATATTTTTGTTTTCATTTGTTTATTTGGCAGGCCTAGAACTTACTATGTAGCCCAGGTTGGCCTTGAACTTGTGGAGATCTGCCTCCACCACAGCTGGCCTATGTAGACAAGTTGGCTTCAAACCAGTGGTTTCTCTGCCTCTCTAAGCGCTGCTGTTTGAGGCTCCTGTGCTGCCACAGCTGACAAATACGTCCCCACTCCCCCAAGGGCAGCCCATGTGCAGGGCCACGTATACCCGCCGGGAACAGCTAGCTGCTCACATGAGGGGCTTGTGCAAACAGGTCTACGTACTGAACAACCCTGAAGGCATAAACACTCGAATTAAGAGGATTTATTTTAAAAGATTATAAAAGCTGGTATTAAGAGTAATAATAATAAAAAAGACCCACAGGCTTTAAATCAACAAATACAAAAGTGATTGGATATAAGTGATGTAAAAATACATTTCCCGGTCTCCACATAAAGCATAATTTAAGTACAGTAATTATAAAAGTCTTGTGCCGTAAGTATATTTCCCTTCTAAGTCTTAAAAACTGGTCTAAACAATTTGTATAAAATACAGTAAATCAAATCTGCTACAGCTTCTAATAAAGACACCGTCTTTCCTCCGCTGCCGGCATCTGGTCCCAGCTCTTTTGGTGCCACAGTCTAACCCCGTTCCCTTCCACAGGATGCAAAAGCCAGCACCAGGTCCCCCAAAGAGAAAGTTCTGAGAACAGCAGACACAAGTGTCCAAATGATCTTCCTAAAAGGAAAGAATGAAGCAGCCGAGGCAGAGCCGGCAGCTGTGGAACAGAGCAAACCCACTCAATGCGGAGTCACTGCACCACGTTTGGAGCCGGGCCAGAGGGTCTGTGAGTCTGAACAAGCCAAACAGCGGCAGAGGCACCACCGCTGAGCTGAGTCCCCACAGGTCTGTGCATTACAGGCTTCTTCTCCAGGACAGCAAGACTAAGAGGGCAGAAACCTTTATAGTGGTGCCTAGTGTGAGGGTTAGGTCAGGGGGGCATGCCCTTCCAGGGACAAGTCACGGCCTCTCTTTCCTCGCTTCCTGCTCTACCACAAACTCCCCAGAGTGAAGAGCTGCTGTCTAAGACAACAGGTCCGACCATGGGCTGAAGCCTCCAACACTGCAAGCCACGATGAACTTTTTTTTTTAACTTTTAAGATTTACTTTAATTTATATGTGTTTGTGTGAATGTACACCATGTGTGTTTGGGTGCCGGAGGCCAGAGACGCTGGACCCCCGGCACTAGAGTTTCAAGTAGCTGTGAGCCATCCCTTGCTGGTGCTGGAGAAGGAAGCATCGTAACCTCTGAGCCGTCTCTCCAGCCCAACTCTTCCTCCTTTAAGTTGATTGTCTCAGGTACTTTGTTACAGTGACAGGAGCTGACTAACAGTTGGTAACACTACAGTAGCCCTGATTTGCTGCTAATTCTCAATGGGTCTAGATGTTTTTTACAGTGACTACAGCAAGCTTGATAATGAAATTCTAAAATTGTCAGCCATACACTGGCAACTTTTCAAGAGCCTACTATCCCTTCTCTTAGATGACATGCCCAGTCAGGCACATCCATGATTGGTTTCGTGATCTCCCAAGCAGGTGTGGCGACAGCATTAGCATGTAAGCCCTGACACCAGCACATCAGGCAGTGAGCCAGTAACAGAGCAGAGGCTGGGCGCCCAGATTCGTCTGCTTCCGAGAAAGAGCAATAGCCTCCCTTATGTAACCGAAACCATCTACCAGACACAATGGCAGACAAGGAACTGAAAAGAAGGGGGACTGTAAAGTGAACCCCTGGAAACATGATCGCAGAACTTCAGAGAGAAAGCCTGGCCTGGGAAGCCTCCACCAGGGCACAGAAGGCCTGGACATGCTCGGGTTCGAAGAAGGAAGGAAGGAACGGTCCCCTTCGGTCAAAAAGGTGTCCCCTGCCTCTAAGCCTTCCAGCAACAAGCAATGCTTCCAAAGTCTCGGGAACAGTTTGCAGCCTCCTTACACCACTCACAGTATTCACTAGCAGGGTTCTAGGGCTTGCTTCCTCACAACACCTCCCCTGGAAAGAAACCCAAGCAGAGGCCTGTGGGAACAAGAACCTGACACTCCCACCTCAGACTTGTGGTGGTGAGAAGGGCACAAGACTCTGGATAGCCTGGCTAACAGTGAGAAAGAAGGGGAGGGGTCAGAGCCCAGGCTCACCTCACAGACGGTGACAGGCAGAGATGGTGACTAGAAAAAGTCAGGAAGGAGGCATCTCAGGTGGGCGGGCAATCCCAGCCGGGGGCTGAGGAGAGCCTGCAGAGCTGTATGCACTTGAGAAGCAGTGGCCATTTTCTGCCAGGAGGGAGAGCCGCAGCTTCCAGCTCACACTAGTCTGCGCTAGTCTGACATCATTAACTGTGATTACGCTTGTGAACACAGCACAACCCCTTCACATCTCTGCTAAGTGGTCAAGGCCCATCTGTGTGATTACGTCCACTGCACAGGACAAAAAGGTCTATTCTATCTTTGGTCTTCAGATGTAGTCTGTTTCTTCACTTTTCTGTGATCCATAACAAACTTCTCTTTCTTTTCAACTCAATCTCAGCAACTGAGGTGCAATGTAAAAACACTCCAAGGCTGCTGCTATTGTTGCTTTTATACACCTAAAACAGCACGCTTTCTGTTAGGCCATGCTGGCTCAGAAAGAACTAAGAATAACCGCCTTAAAAGGTTAGCACGGGAGTGGAAGGCTATGAGGTACAGTAACGACGGGGATCAGACATGAAGGAAAGAAGCCACAGCTGCATCTTAGGTACAAGTTAGATCTCCAACAACAGCATCTGAAGTACAAGTTAAAGCTCCAACAACAGCATCTGAAGTACAAATTAAGTCTCCAACAACAATAAAATCTTCAAAAACAAATAGCAAAGCAAATGATTCTGAAATGAAACACAGAAAGGAAAAGGCTCAGTCTGGAAGCTAAGACTAGGGCGGGTGTCCTGTGGCACCGTGACAGACAAGCAATTCCAAGAGATGACAGCCCTCATGTCTAAACAAAACAAAAAAACAAAACAACAAAACAAACAACAAAACCTCCTCTATTTGAGGCAGGTTCCAACAGTTATTAGAAACCCTCTGAGCTAACTGGTGGGGCTGCCCCAGCCCAACACTGAGAAGCCGCCCTCCTGCCCCTTCCCTTCTCTCCCAGTGCCACGCAGGCGACACAGCTCAAGCGGAGGGAGCCTCTCTGCGTGGCCGCAGAGCTCCGAGTCTTCACGCATTCAGTGGTTCTGTGAGGGTTTCGGCCCTGGTGGTGCTTTCAGGCTTTCTCAGCTGGCTCTCCTGCCGCTTCTCCCACAGCATGGCACAGAAGTCAAGCAGGAACATGAAGCTTGCTACAAAGCCAAACACCTGAGGAAGAAAGGGGGTTAGTGAGGAAGCATGAATTAAAAGCAAGTGTCCTACTCAGCCCTCACATTCACATCCAGGAGAGGCGGCTTGTCAGTTCCACCTTACAACTAGTTTTTAAGAGAAAAATTTTGCTGAGGATAGAGAGATGGCTCAGCGGTTAAGAACACTGGCTGCTCTTCCAAAGGATCCGGGTTCAGTTCCCAGCATCCACATGGCAGCTCACAACTGTCTATAACTCCAGTCCAGGGGATCTGACACCCTTAGGCACACATACAAGCAGGCAGAACACCAATGTACATAAAATAAAAAATAAATTTAAATAAATTTAAAATTGTTTTAAATTTATATAAAAAATATTTGCTTTATTTTTATGTACATGCGTGTGTTTGTGGGAGTGACTGCTACATGTATATATCTTTGAAGGCCTAAAGAGAGGACAGGATCCCATGGAGGTAGGCTAGAGCCACCTGGTATGGGTTCTGGGAAGCAAGCTCTGGCCCTGGGGAAGAGCAGCCAGCACCCTAACTGCCAAACCACACTCACTACTCTCTAACAGAATTCTAAAGTCATCCAAAGAGGAAAAGAAGTGACAAAAGAAAAATGTCCAGAATAACAGCTCCTACCCCACATTCCACAGACTACGAATGCCAGTTCTTTGGCTGTGCGGTGCTAGGACCCGGTGCTACCTCATGATAAGCATGTGCTCCTCATGCTGCTCTAGAGACAGCAGCCCAGGAGAGATCTGGCCTCTCTGCTCCTCCACCTCCACAGCTACCAGAGAAGGCCCTGGTGCCACCTCCATGCCACGCATTCCCTGGAGGATAGTCATGTCTCACCTCCTCTGGAAACTTATGACAGGAATTCCCTTCATTCCCAACTGACTTCCGGTTGGGAACTGAAGACTGGTCCCTGCTGTGGTTGTTAGAGAACCTGTCTTCGTCAGACCAGCTCTCCTACACCTGCTTCCGGCCGAGACCAGCGCATGACAGCAGCTGACTGCAAACACACATCTACGTGGCAGGAGACAGGTGTCTAACCACAAAGAGTCAGCACCACTCGAAAGACGCTGAGCCCAGGTGTCGCAGGCTGCCTCCACCTCAAGCAGCGAGGGACACTAAAGAGACCCTGGAAATTTCCACTAGCCTAGGAAATCACAAGGCTGCCATGAAGGCGGAAAGTGAAGCCACACACCTGCGTCCTTCCTAGTTGCTCTGTTTTTGAATCCTCTCCTGAAGACAAAGAAAAGCTGCCAAGAGGCGCTCACCCACAGGAAAGGTCTCAGATATTAGGGTCCAAGGGGGCCCTGAGATGGACCTGTTGCAAGAGTCATGAATGCTGTGGAAAGAGAGCATGGTAGGACTCTGACACAAGTGGAGTCCTGCAAGGCAGTGTGGGCGCCTCCCTCCAGCTCTAGCCACGTGGGGAAACAGGGTCCACAGCGCGCGCCTAGTCAAGTTGTCTCTGATGCTTCAGGATACGGGAAAGAAGGGCGCAGGGGCTCCAAGAGAACAAGCCTCTGGCCCAGACCGGAGGTGTACCCATATGGCATCTACTAAAAGACCAAACCCAGGGGTCCTGATCCCTTCTGAATGGGTAGACACTCTCTGCAACACACAGCAAGGAGCTGACGCAGGCCGGGTGTTGGTGGCGCACGCCTGTAATCCCAGCGCTCAGGGGCAGGCGGAGCTCTGTGAGTGCTAGGCCACCTTGGTCTACAGAGTGAGTCTAGGATAGCCAAAGCTACACAGAGAAACCTTGTCTTGGGGAGTAAGAAGAAAGAAGGGAGGGAGGGAGGGAGGGAGGGAGGGAGGGAAGGAAGGAAGGAAGGAAGGAAGGAAGGAAGGAAGGAAGGAAGGAAGGAAGGAA